TATTCCTGAGGGTGTTTTAAACTGTGTGACCAGCCTACAGTTTTAGAGGTTCAATCCATTATTGTCATCATGGCAGGAAGCATGGTAGTGTCCAGGAAGACTCAGTGCTGGAGAAGGAGTGAAGAATTCTTGACCAGACGGCAGCCAAGAGAAGACTGATTCTTCTACAATGGGTGGAGCATGAGCACTAGGAGCCCTCAAAGCTTACCCACACCGTGGCACACGTCTTTTAACAAGGCCATACCTCCTCCCATAATACCACATCTCCTAATAACGCCACTTTCCATGGACCAAGCATAGTCAAACCACCACACATTCTAATACACATTGAATAAGAATGAACACCTCAACATGGAGCCTAATCTCCTACTTGGCTAGTGAACCTATAAGGTAATCCAGAATAAAAACATCTCTTCCTGACAGGCAACTTCTTTCTTGGATAATCTAAAATTTTAATAAATGCAAAGAAAAGGCTTTAAGCCCAATAGAGCTTTACAGTGGCACAAGGTTCCCCACAGCTATATGAGTTGGAAAGTGGACAACAAATGAACCTAAGTTGCAAAGGAGAAGTGGCCTGAAGGGAGCAGGAAAAGATGGAAAAGGGGTTCCTAGTCATTCTGGGCAAGGAGGATAGACACATGCCTGCTGTATATATGATACTGGTTCAGCTAGCCTCCTCATTAGCCTACAAGGCTATTCCTGGGATCTTACATAATGTCTTGTTCCTTATTCTCATGACCTTCTTTACAATCAATACAATATCAGTGATATGATGGGTGTGAATCTCTTTCAGAAGTGGAAAGACCTGCTGAAAGAAGGAAAAAAAAACTCTGGAGGCCTTCCTGCTGGCTCAAGTTATCTTTATGGGCAATGTAAAGATTTTCCTGGATAAAATCGTAGGGCAGACAGTTCAGTAACACACTCATTAAACAAGAACATTGGTTCCCTTGGCCCTTGGAACCCAACTGTACTGGCATAAATAAATATACCTTGGGTTGATATTCTTGCCTGGGGATCTGGCATGAGGAAAAACACAGTAGAGTTCATGAGGGCACTATTTGGCCACATATGCTGCTCAAAGTTTGCCAGAGGAGCCCTTTGGCTGTGTTAGGAGATGCTGTGGCCTGAATGCTTGTGTTCCTTCCACATTTGTAATACAACCTACTCCCCCAAGGGTTGGTATAAATAAGGGTCTCTGGAAAGTGGTTAGAGCAAAATCCTGGTGTCCTCATAAATGAAAACCCAAAGAGCCAGTGAGGGCTCAGGAGACCAGCATCAGGGAATGAGGGGGTGAGCCTCTGTTAAAACTAAATTTGGTGCCTCAATCTTAGACTTCCAGATCCCCAGAACCATGAGAAAAAAAGTGTACTGTTAGTCACCAAGTCTATGGTATTTTTGTTTTAGCAACCCAAATGGACCAAGACTGGGGTGAGGTGAGGAGTTGCCAACTGGAGATGAAAAAGTGTCTTAATCTCTTTTATTTAGTAAATTTGAATGTATACAAGAAATCATCTAGGGAAAATTGTAAAACTGCAGATTCCACTCAGGGATCTGCTGAAGTCTGACATTCTGAGTTTTCAAATTCCCAGCTGCTATCTGGTATTTCCTTCTGAAGGGGAGGCTGTCTACTGAACCACTGTCTGAATCTCGGGAGGCCATTTTCAACGTTGCATCTTCTCATCAGACCTCATCATAATGCGTTGTGCATTGTGAACTCTTCTGAGAACTATACTATACCTACTTGATAGGAGATGAAAAGAATAAGCTCTCACTCACATTAGCATAAAGGAAAATATTTGAAAACTTATCCCTGAGTTCCAAGCCATTGAGAAACTGATGCTTGCAACTTGTTTTTTATCTTCTTAGCAAATCTATAGCTTTTGAATTCAATGACAAGGCAGAGGAAGGATTGGATAAGAAAGCTAGAAGTTATCAGAGAAAGTTCTTGTTAGTTAAGTTATTTTATGAATTGAAAATATAATACTTTACAAAAGGAAAGAGGAAACCACCTAGATCTATGTGTGGCATATGATTAGGACCTTCATTTGGACTAGGTGTGTTACACTTAAAAGCCTTGCTGTCATTCTCAGTCCTCAAATCACTGGGAAAGAGGGCTATCTATCACAGATGAACAGGGTTATTAGTCATTTTAAAACACTGAAAACCTTCAGCTAAAGTCAGCATGTTTATTGTGTGAGGAGTGGGTTCTGCCAGGGGGACAGCTTTTTAGCCTTTATATTAGCTTTTGACCATAGAAATGTGTGTAAAGACTGATTCAAATGTGTTCATTGGCAAGACCACCACCTTTGAGAAAAGTCACAAGCTGAGGACATCTAGAACTGTCATCTTCATCTCAAAGCAGACCAAACCTTTAAAGATGATTTTGTTTGCTTCTAGCCATCTGTTCACTCTCCCACATGACAGTAGCTTCTGCAATGTGGTAGAACTCAGGAAGCTTGTCCACCCACAAGCATTGCCCAGGATCACCACAGACTGTAGAGCAGTGCTTGTCAACATTCCCTAATTCTATGACCCTTTAATATAGTTCCTCATGTTGTGGTGACCCCAACTATAAAACAATTTTCATTGCTAATTTATAACTAATTTTTCTCCTGCTAATGAATTGTAATGTAAATATGTTTAGAGATAGAGGGTTGCCAAAGGGGTTGTGATCCATATGTTGAAAACCACTGATACAGACTGTTGCCTAATTGTGCTAAGGTCAGCCTTGGGATGGGTGCTGGTGAACTGATTTCACCAAGTGGTGTCTGACCTTGCTGTTCAAGTAGTGTTCATTGACTACCATTGATCAAAGTCATTATAAAGATAAGAAACTTTCTTCTTATTATTCTTACCACCCTCGGACTTCTCATCAGGATACTAACTAAATCCTTCCACGTTTCCTGGAAATTTCCTTATTTTAACACTGAAGGTATACTATATCTTGGGAAATATCTCAGTTTCCAGCAAACCAAGAGAGTTCCATCTTGAGTTAGTAAGTAAAGTCTAGGTGTTGAGAATTGGTGTATGCATATCCAAGCTTCAGAAAAGCCTAAAGAAACCCAAAGTAGAACTTTCTTATCTAGTGACCTTAAAGGAAAGAAAGTTGAAGAAGGGTAGCTAAATTCACTGCTACTGCTTGATATTTAGACTAATGAGGGAATCTTCCCCCAAGTCAGCTGACATATGGCTGGGAGGTTTTACATTCATGAGTTCATCATCTCCCTTCCAAGACCACTGACATCTTAAAGATGACTTCAAAGGGAAAAGTGTTTGGTCACAATTCTGTATCTGACATGAGCTTGTCTGAGAACACAAATATACTTCTTAAGTTGATACTGGTTAGAACATTTGCCAAGGGGACCAAAGGATAAAAGAAACTAATGGTTTTCACTGCCCCACTGACTTCACCCAGGGCACAACATGCAGGGTGGACACAAAAACAACAGAGCCAAGAAGTCAAGGTCTAAATCCTAAATTCATGCTTAATCGTGACATCAAACAAAATGGAGAAGGCCTTGCTGCACCATAGGCCAGCACTGACTTTAAACCCCTAGGCTAATAGGCACTAAAATTCCAGCACCACTGACCTACAATGAAAGTATAAAAAGACTTCTTTCCTTCGGTCTGACTTTGGTGTCCATCTTAACCAAGCAGAATTAATTCACGGCCCAGGAGCTCCACAGCTGATGTTTATTTATAATATCCAATATTCCCATAAGCACACATGTTCCAAATGGAAGGGTGCATTTTGATAATGCCTGTTTCTTCATTAAGATTTCATCATCCACCTACATTAAGAAGCCTGGCCCTACACTTTGTTACTTCTGCTTTCACCTTGTGTATTCCTGCTTTATTTGCTTAATCTCAAGTTCCTGGCTTCCCAGGCAGTCAAATTTGAAACAAGCAAAGTTCGTGCATTAGTGTATCCTGAGCATGCATGATTTATGAATGGCAAGGTACTTGGCACAATTTAATGGTTATAAGGGAGACTTTGTTTTAAACATTAAAATGAAAGTTAAGAAGTAGCAACAATGGGTGGGATACCAGATCACAGAATGCATAAGGGTCACTAGTTGTTGGTTGTCCTTCAGCGTGTGTATTGACATTCTAACCAATTTGATAAGTCAAATAAACACCAACCACTTAATCAATTTAAAAGTAATTTGAATTGTTATTCTGAGGACTCACCCAGACAAACCTTCATTCTGTAAAACAAAATAACTGCTTACGTTTACATAAATTAAAAAGTCAAACTGTTTTATGTAATCCCAGAGTAGATTTTGTTTTGTTTTGGTTTTTTTGTTTTGTTTTTGCTTGGTTTGATAGTAAACATAATATTCTTATTCAGAATGGTTTTCACTGTAATTATTTTTTCTTTGATGAATAATTTGGAAATCAACCAGTGTTGGTGTTATCAAACTTTTAAAGAAAAGTTCAACTTCTCAAAATATAGAGAACAACTTCTCCCAATAAAATTACAGTCTGCCTTCTACCAAAAAGCTCAAATAATGTACATTGTTTAACACTTATATCTAAAGCCTATTTAGTGGCAAAATAATCATTAAATTAATCATCAAATGATACTTTGTATTGGTAGTGTGCCAACCACTCATGCAGATATAAATAACTTCCAACCTTTCCTTGCTTGTGGGAAATTTGAAAACCTTGTCAGATTATAACTACATCTTCAAATAACAACACAGTGATTTCACATTTAAATGATGGTGTGTCCCACAATGATTGTGCCTCCATTGTGCTTGCTGAGGGCCTGAAAGGCTTTAGTGTTCATGAGAGAAAAATGCAGGTTGATAAAATCATGGCTTGAGCAAGCTCATAAACAACTGGAAATGCAGCTTTGTGCAGAAGCCTTTCATGTCCTTCATGGTAGAGGCAACCCTAAACCACACTCCCCACTCAGCGTGCATTTTTTGTCCATTTTAGAAAACTCTGCTTATGAGTAGAACATCACCCAGCACCTGGGCATGATGGTTGGTTACCTTGTAGATTTTGCAATGGCAGAGTCATAATGCCTCCAGCTGCAGCTGCCGCTACCAGCCCTTGGATGTTTGTGAGATTCGCGGTGGGCAGTGTGAGAACCAGGCCTTGCTGACCACCGAGCTGCCCCGCCATGTTGAAGGGAATGAGGATAGGCTGATTGAGGGCTGGGGGGCCTCCCGGCATCACCCCGGCCACAGCAGAGGCTAACTGCTGTGCCGTCAGAAGAGGCTGAAAAAGAAGAGAAACCTGTCTTACTTTCTATCAGAACAAGACATGGCCTTTCAGAGCACCATCTCTCCATTATATCAGGAAAGTTTCTGAAGAAGTGGCAAAGAAGCATACTCCATCTGAGAAAGGAAGAGTGTAAGGAAGAAATTGCATTTTGACATTAGGTTTCACTTATTTCTTTGAAAATTTTCAATTTATTTTAGAATCTCTGTTGAGCTTAAATACCTCTTGAAAAAAATACAGTACTTTTACATACTGCGAATTGACTTGAAGTTTCGTTTGATCCTAATTCTCATATATTTAAAGTACTCAGTTAATTCGTTCTACATTGTCTCAGAAAGAAGTCATTGATATTGGTAAGGTTTTTATTATATTTTTGGCTCAAAAAAGGTAATGCCGCGCTTTTTTAAAAGCATTATATTAACAAAAACAGTGGAAAAGATTTTCTTAATGTTAGGCCTTTAGTGATGCCTTTATACACCTCTGTGGCTGGAGAGCACGGATGTTAGCATAATTGTTTTCAAAAGCAATTTGGAATATATGCATATCAAGAATGGTAAATGTATGCATCCCTATTTAACTCAGAATATACTCTAAGGTGTAACTTCACGATAGAATTCAAAGGGAAAAGAGATACATGAATGAAATTTTGCAATACACTTTAAATCACACAAATGTTGAAGCAGTTTATGTTATAGTACCATCCTGATGAGATATTGTATCGTCATTAATACAGATCATTAGGGTACCTAGTTAGGAAAGTTAAAATAGATGTTTCCAGGGGTTCTAGAGAGATGGTTCAGTCGTTAGGAGCACTCACTGCTTTCTCAAAGGTCCTGAGTTCAATTCCCAACACCCACATGACAGCTCACAAGTGTCTGATATCATCTTTTGGTGTGCAGATGTACATGTGAAAAATACATATTTGTGTATATACACATATAAATAAATAAATAAATAAATCTAAAAATCTTCTTGACATGAAAATAAAGAAGATAGTAAATGAGTGGGTGATATTAAAATGGCATAAATATCTCTATATACGCTCTCTATATGTATATGTCAAGTTCTAAAGTGTACTAGAAATAAAATACTTATAATTTAAGATCAAATACTAAAATGTCCCTTTCTGTTAATTCTCTCATACTCTTCACCCAATTAAGATCTTTCTATAAAACCCCATGTGTATGTCTATTCTTGAGTTTATGGTCATGGTTTGGTGTGAAAGGCAGCAATAGAACACAAAGCTTGTTTGAGTGCTGGACTAGAGTCATCACTGGAGGAATATAACTAAGATTTGGTTCTGGATTGCAAAAGTCATTTGACATTGGAGTCCTTAAGTCAGGACATTTGTTATATTTTTACAGAAGCTGAGGAATAAAATATAATCTCACATCTTTCCTCTACAAGTTTGAAAATGAAACTTTATGTAGAGTTGGCTTCCCGTTTGATGGAAAAAGTATTTAAATACGGACGTGACACAATGACAGATTATAATCACCAGGCTCTACTGTGATGCTGTAATTATCCTACAAATGGGACCTAGAGAGTTTTATAGCTTGTTAGAAGTTCCATATCTAGTGCCTGGAGAGGTCACGTTTAAGACCAGATAGACTGTTCCAGAGTCATCTTCTTTACCCTCCTTCTCCAATACAAGGAGAAGATTCAGAGACATGGGGCTTCCGCATTTGAAAAATGATGGTAAGGGTGGGTGCATCCTCTGGCTATCCCTCTAGAGTACCCTCCAAATCCATGCAAAGGAAGCTGTAATCTTCCAATGTACTTGTTTACTTTACTAAATTCACACCAATAACTTTGCCTCTTCTTTTAAAAAACACAACACTTTAAAGAACAATCATCAAATTTGGGGAATAATAATGAAATTGTTGCCTGGCCCCAAGGTTCCTAGTAAGGTAACCAGTCAATCAATATGATGCTTCAAGGGAAGATAGCTCTCAGATTGTACACAGGTTTAGAGGCTTGACATGCAAATTTTTAAGATTGGATTTTGGGCTTAAGATAGGGTATGGCTGTTCCTGGTTTTCACAGAGCCATGCTTCTTCACTGCCTGAGTCTGACATTCTAATCAGAATCAGAATATTAAAAGATGTTAGGACTCCTGTGCTTTCAGGCACATTCATGCATACACATAGGCAGAAGCACCAAAACATACGAACACGTGAGGTAAGAATGACATTATAAGGGTCTGACACAAAGAAGCCAACGGCTCCTGTTGTATGAGCTCTCTCTAGGTGTATGAAGTAGACACTGCCCATTCTTCATGTCTATCAATATGAAATTGTCTGGGCTCTGAGGTGGATGATGGGATCTGAGGCCATTGAAAGATTTCATGGTGACTGGAGTGTCAAATCTGATCGAAGCTTTACACTTGGACACGTGCTCCTTATACTGAAAGCAGTTAATTTCCAGGAACAACATTGATAGAAATGGGGAGGGAAAGGCCCAGATATTTCTCTCCATAAAAGCAAGATAAACTCTGAAAGTTTCACAGTAGATGGCAGAGGTTAAAGAAAACCCAGCCTTTTATAATTGTGTTCTACATCTCCATATAACCCACGCCAGGCTGCAAAAAACAAATATTGGACTTTAAAAAATAATGAATGTATTTCTTTATTAATGCAAGAGCTATGTGTGATGTACAGTATTGTCAAACCCAATAAGCTGAACTAGCATTAAAATTGCATTAACTTTTTTATATTAGATCACATCTTGTATTTCAAAAATGGCTATAGTAAGGTTGAAATAACTTAATTTCCTTCACACTCCAGTCATTAAAGTTTTACTTTCGAGAAAACTGCATGGTAACCCACAGCCTAGATGTAGAAGGTTTTAATGGAAAAAAAAATATTTCCACATGATTAAAACCAACATTTCCTTTAAGAAGAGTCTTTTGCAAACACATATTTTCTTGAGAGTACTTAATAAATAATGTAGTCATATAGCTTCCCATACAAAAATTTATCACCATCTTTGCCCTGTTGGAGTTAATTGGATTTAACTCATTATTATTTATTTGGTTATTTATATGTAACCTAATGTAGCCTTAATCTTAAATGTAGCCTAATGCAAAACAGCTGAGAGATACTGACCTGTGGCCCAACTGGAAAGGGGGGGTGACTCTGACTGGCCTGGTGCTGGTCAGGAGTTCCTGGGTCTGGTAGAATTGTGTTTCCTCTGGCCCCTAGAATTCAAATGAGAAAAGTTCCCTTAGTATCAAGTTCAGCCTGGGAACCACATATTTCTGTGATGTTGTAGGACAGACACTAAGTAAAAGATGCTTACAAAAGAGTAGTTCACTAGTTTTCAAATTGTTTGACAATGGCAAAAATTATGCTGTGGTACATTTAGGATGACCAAAGTCAACAGGAATTAGAAAGAACAGACAGTAGAAAAAGGTATACTGGCATATATATGCCACATGTCTGTGTGTGTGGGGTGTGTGTGTGTGTGTATGTCAAAATCGTATATATACACATACTAAAGTCATATATATTTACATATGAAAAGACTTAACATTAGACATCAGTTTGGATAGCACACTCCAGTTCCGTATGTTTATGTGCACATGCATTCATGCATGTGTGTGAAACTGCATTCATGCATGTGTGTGAAACTGTGTCTGTTATACAGAGGTGAGTAATAGATAAGCTAGTTCTCCAAAGCCTTATTACAATCTCAGGCATAATCATGTCCATTCATGTTGTTCCTTGACAGGAATTCCTCTCTTTATACCTTTGAGCTATCTCTTCATGTTGTCTTTGGGTGGACTCTTAAGAATACCCTTTCTAAAACCTCAGTCCTTTTCAGTGCTCCCCTCCTTCATCACAATATTCTAAAAGGAATATGTGTTCTCTTACTCAAATTTTCTGGATGAGAAGAAGATATCTCACCATCAATTCACAGAGATCCACCTCTGTGGGCACTGAACACACCACGTTCCTGAGTTGAGATCCTGTTGGATTTCTAGCACCCTGACAGCAAATCTCTAAAGCCTTTGGATATTATCTGCATGCTTTTATGCTATGTTTCAGGACAAACCACAGTGGTTAAGGTAATGGTGGAAACAATAAATACTTAAATAAAAAAAATAAACAACACTATGAGCATTTCTGAAGTGTCCCTATTGAGGCCTTCTGTTTTCTTGAAGTTTTCTAATGGAGTGGTTGAAATTCAGTTCCTAAAATACCCAAACAAGATCCACTTCCTGGTGTTTGTCCTATAAATAGCAAGTAGAAGAGATTTCAAACTCTGTTTACTGGCGTGCTGTGGCCAACCAATGAAAAAAGATATGATTCTGTCTTGCTTATAAATTTTAAAGAAGGTATTATTGGCTCATTTAAAACAAATTCTTCTATATAGTCTCCTAAGGGACAGACTTATAAATAATGGAAATGTGGAAAAAATACTTCAGCACATTAAGCTACAAATAAAATTGACTGCTACATATTATTCAATTGACTTCTATCTCTACAGTGATGTGTCAATCATAACAGCATTTTATAATAGGATTAAGCAATAAATGTGCAAAGCCATTATACAGAAATTTGAAAATCTGATTAATTTGTAATTTTTTTGTGCAGAAAGTCAGGAATGGACATTACTTGGGGAATACTTACAAGCATTCTATTGAAATTTCTAAATTGATTTGGAGCAAACTAATAAAAAACATAGACTTGCTGACATTTTATAAACTGAATTCTGTCAAGATATGTTTGGCATTATAATGATCACTGTCATTTAATAACAAGAGTAAAATGACCTATTAGAAGATACCAACAATCCTTGTATATGCAAAAGAGCTTTCCTCTAAATTTTTTATATGTGATTTATTTATTATGTTTGAAAGCCAGGACATGTTAAGCTAGGCAGTGCTTTATGTAGTGTAAATCTCATGGTCTCCATTCAGCCCCCATAAATAGTGCTTTTGGTCAAATATTAAGATTAGGCTAATTTGCAAATGGCTAAAAATTTACTGCTTAGAAAAACATAATTGCTTCCTCAAGTTTGTCAGGTCTAGACTTTTATACCAAACTCTGAAACATAACTTTTATGCCGAACTCTTACAGCATGCAGAAAAGTAGAAAAGTCCTTTAAAATAACTAAATATATACCTTGCTATTAAAGTGCTTTATAGCAAGACAGGTCCCTTTGTATCATATTTTCTTCATGTGTTCAGAACCCATTTCTTCCTCTATTCTCATCAGATCCCACTGCAGTGTTGAGGACTGGTCCCATCTAGTCACTGTACTAATACAAGTGTACGTCTGTCTTCTATATCACTATATAGATTACATTTGCTTATACTTATCTTTTGGTGCTCCGAGACCCTAACTGATACCCAGCAGCTTGTTCTGAAAATGGCTATTCTCAAAAACCATGTTAAACACAGTCTGGGGCAATTTTACACAATTTCATGTGTAAAATGACGTCTTTCATAGGCTCTAGAGAAGATTATATATGCTTTCCTGCCTGGATCAAAAAGTAATGTTTCCTCTTAATGTGCATCTCCATTTTCCCCAAACACGTGTATCACTCTTAACCTTGTAGGACCGTAAACTAATCTGTTGGAAAGCAGTTCCTATACAGAGGCCTTCCTGTACAGCCAGAGGGGAATCCTGCAGTCAGAATGAGTAAAAAGCATTGGCTAAAGGTTTTAGTGATTTGAAGCAACACTTACTGTATGCTAGCAGAGAATTTGAGGTTAGATATTTCCATGTCACATCAAGAAAACATAAACATGGATCAAGCAGGTGTTCTGTTGAGGTTTGGTCTGTTGCTATATAATGCAATGCTAAGTGTGGGGTGGGGTAGGGGCCCAGATCTGATTGTCCCTGATGAGAGAGTCTACAGGTAGACTTAAAAGAGGCTATGTGACTTGCCCCAAGTTATTTCTGATTGGTGAATAAGGATACCTATGAATAAATACAGCCTACAGCTGGGCAGAATTGAGATAGACAAGGCTTGGTGTTCCCAGCCTTGAGGTCAGAGGAAACCACAAGGAGAGAGCGAAGAAAGTGGACAGAGGAGAAAAACGCCATGGGTTAGGAGTTGAGAAAGCATGATCATTTAGAGCTAAGAGCAGCCTAGATGAAACATAGTAAGTAATAACTCGGGGTTAGTGATAGGAAAATAGATTTTAATAACATAGAAGACAGATATCTGTGTAGCTAATGTGGTGATTGGAGCTTATTGTAAATAATAAAAGTTGTGTGTCTTTTATCTGGGAACTAAATGATCAAACTCAGGGTAGAATACCCAGATTGAGATTAAATATTTTCTAAAACATGTGTCTTGACCTGGAAGCCTAGGAAACAAAGTACACCATTGGAGACCAGGGGTCCCAAGGCAGCCTCTGTAGTGAATGGTTCATGCTTTAAAACTTTTGTATTTTAATTAGCAAATAGTAAGTGTTAAAAAGAACAATGTGTTTTGTGATGTTTTCCTAAAAACCGCAGTGTGCTTTGATTATATATTCACCCCACTTCACCTCCTTCTCTTCTATTCCATCCTCTCTGCCCTCATCCTCTTTGCTAGTTGTCCTCTTTGACTGTGAGCTCAGCATTTCATTCACACTTGGTGACTATTCAGTCAATACAAATAGAAGTTTGGCTTAAGATACTTGTTGCCATCCACTTGATCACTTACTACTGTTTAGAATAAACCTTGGGAATATCTTTCAATATTAGCTTACTGACAAGTTCTGTCTCAATCCCAAATGACATCTACAGTATGGATCTAGAATGTCCCTACAGCCTATGTTAAAAGCCTTGCTGTCAGCCTGTGACACAATGAGGAAGTGGGAGGACATTTATGGAGGGTGGACAAGCAGAGGGAAGCTGAACCATTGCGGGAAGTCCCTTGAAATAGATGGTGGGTTGCTGGCAACTTCCTCATGCTCTCTTTGTTTTCTGGCCACCATGATTTTGGTATTTGTGGGGGTCATGTCTATATTATGCTGCCTTGTTAAGGTCCCCAAACAAAGGAGCAAACTGGTCATTGGCTGAAGCCTCCAAAACAATAAGCCAAAATGAATCTTCCCTATTGGGCACTTTGCCACAGTAACAAAAACCTGCCTGGATCAGATGTAGGAAGTAGTTTGGTATAAAGATTAAAGGCAAGATTTCTTACAGTTTAAACATGGCCAGGTTTTAAATTTAGATCTTCCCCTCACTACGAGTGTGGACTTAGAATTATTTTCCAGTTACTTATTCATCAGCTTTCTCTTATAAAAGTCAGGTATGGTAACAAAACCTTCACCATATTGGCTGCTGTGAGTACCATATAGATAACATACATGTAAATTCACTGAAACCCTGCAAGCTTGCTATATAAATGCTCATCTCCTGATTATTAAACCTTAACAAAGTTTATGTTTAAGGTAACATTTCATATTATTTAATTTGTTTATAATGTTCAACCACCAAAGCCAACTAATACATATTCCAATCTTTATGTGTGCAGACCTTGGAAATATCTTATACACAGCTAATGGCACTCACTGACCTTGACTTTGTACCGTGAACCATAAGATCCATGTTTGAAATGGAACTCAGTAGCTGAGTCTCTCAGAGCTCACAAAATCTAATGTTTACAACAGTCTTCCCTCAGGATCCTGAGAGTTGTTTCACAGACCAGTCTCTGTAGATACCAAAATCTGAGGATATTCAAATCTCTTATTTAAATCTGCATAAAATTTACATATAGCCTATACATATTCTCTCATTCATTTTAAATTGCCCCTAGATTACTCATAATGTTGATGCTATGACCATGCTAAGTAAATTTTATGCTATATTCTTTAAGGAGTTACAACAAGAAAAAAATCTATATATATTTGTTTCTCAAATAGTTTGAATCTACAGTTGGCATTTTTCAAGTCTGTAGATGAGATTCTGATGATACAGGGGTCTCGCTATTGGCTGTTAGTCTAGAGTAACACACAGACAATGTGGTACCAAGAGTCTAGCAGGTAGCTTCTAAATTCTTCCACAGACCATGGCTCACACAAGTGTCCTCAGCACCAAGTCTGTGAATAATTATTGAAGCTTCTTAAAGCATTTCACAGCCCACAGAAATCTAGGGACAGAGAGTGGAAGAGGGTTTTTGTATGGGCATTTCTTAAACTCCATGAGGGTTAAAAATGGCATGAATAACAGTGACTTCACTGATATCCAGGAGAGT